CCGATGACTTACGTAATACAGAGAATGAAAGATTGTTTTAATTCGCTTAAAAGAAGCACCTTTGAGACAACAGAAACCAAAATGGCATATTCACAAGCAGTCAAAATACGCATTTCTCTAGCTTTCTACCCCATTCTTTATTCCCCTAATTAGCAAAGCTCTTGAATGAAAACAAAAATCTAGACCAAAAGAGTAGCATCAGGAAGTACCAAACGAACTGTATGCAATGGATCCATAGTATTTGTAGACAGAGACTACGTAAAACACAAAACAACTTATAAAACATAATTATCAAAAACTACATCAGAAAATGACTGACTGAAATAGAGAAGTACCGTTTTGTAAGCAGAGAGAGGGGCGGATGTAAATTCACGGCGACGGAGAGATCGGAGGAGGACGGCGGTCGCCATTTGAGAAGAGAGCTTTTCAGTGACTGGTTGTTGGAGATGCTAGGGTTTAGGGTTTATGAGGGTGAAGGCAGATGTTAAAAAGAGAAAATAAACTTTCTCCCGGCGAGTTACGATATGTTATATGAGGAAAAAAAGATGAGAAATATGGTGCGTGTCAGAAGGTTCTAGAAAATATCGTATCGCCCATGTTATCATACAAGTTGTGGAGTGTTACCCAAGTCGAAAGTTGGATTTTGTCCATAGAACGACGTCGTTCAGTAATGGGTTTTTAATTTCTTTTTCACTTTCCTCCCATTTATAAAATTTATAAATAGTTTGCATAAATAAATTTACCACCCTTTCATAATTGTGGAAAAATAAACTTAACATTAATATTAACATGGAAAAGGTTCATTTACCAAATGTTGGTATAAATAATTTTTTCCCATATTTTTCATATGATGTTTATTTATTTTAACTAACCAAACGTTATTCATTAATTAGCTCATGTCTACCTATTATTATTTTAAAATTCTTTTTTCTCAAACTCATTTTCAATCGTACATTCTACAATTATTCACTGCTCAAAAACTCAATTTCCTTCAATAATAGTAGACAAACAAGTCGCAAACCACTATACTATTCAATGATGCGTACCAAACTTATAATATGTAGTAAGATGCACTCGAAAGTAAGTGGAATTCTTTTTTTTTTTTTTTTTTAAACATTTGTTTGTCCACGATACCAATTCCTTTTTATCGTTGCAAGATCCAATCCATTTCATCAAACATGATATTGGCCTATGAAAGCCCTGCCATGGTACTCACTTTTCAGTATACATGCAATGGAATACAGATTTCAGAGTCCAACAATGTGTATCTTGAACCAATTTCTCAATGCAAACGGGTAGACAAATCCTTTAGATACACGAAAATAATGGAGTATCCTATCCAACGTAAGAGGACAAACGAGAAAGATGGCAACTTTTACCGGGCGAATATTGTAGCCTAGAGCCGGAGGTATCCTCCTCTTTCTTTTCTTTCTCCACCGCCAACTGTTCTCTTAATGAAGGATTTCCGGTTGAGAGTCCAACTTCTTCTCAAGGCTCGCCTTCTTTGCCAAGCCATTACACGACTGTACAGAGCCGGGAAAATGAAGCAAAGAAGAATGACCACGAGCAGTCCTACGCAAAGTAATATGACATTGCGGAATCCATCCTTCAAATCGGGGTCCCTTTGCCCAGTCCATGGAACTCCTCCCACGTTCATGCCAAACACTATTGAGAAATCATAAGGAAGTCATTGTTATGAGGTTTCTTCAAATCTTTTACATAGAATTTCAAATTATAACTAGGATAATGTGAGAAGGGAAGTTGTATTCTGACCTCCTGTTATTATTGATAAAGGAAGAAATATGATGGAGAGGAAGGAAAGATAGTATAGTTTTCTGTTTATTTGCTCGGCCTGCCAACTATCAAGGCTAGCCTGAATTGCAGTGACACGATTGGCTATAAATCCAACGTTCTCCTTCAGTCTCCTTAGTCGTCCAATTAACTCTTCCAAGGAGTTAATGTCTTCATTATTAAACCAAGCCTTCGACAAACAATGTTGTTTGAGTCGGGGAAATACTTGCTCTCCATTTGCAATTACCTACAATTTGACAAATGTAAATGAAACCACCGTGATGTCCAAGTACACGTTAATTAGTCTCTTCAAAATTCAGAAATCATTGAACAGTTATCAGGTAAATGGCCCAGACAGAAAATTGACGTATGCAAAATCTATTTTCTCCAAGCATTCGGGCAACTAATCTATCAATGACAAACAACACAGTTCACAACACCTCCCACAGTAATACACTCACTCCCATTTGCCTCTGGGGTTCCCTTTTACATTTTTTTTTTTCCCATTCTTTCTACTTTTTCTCTTTGGTTCCAAGAAGAGTAGAGACCCGCACATGAAAGTTGAGGAGCTATGGTTGTTGAACTATGTGGATACTAAGCCCCCGTTTGGCCCTCATTCTCCTCATTCTTTTTCTTTCTCTTATTTTCAACCACACAATCTTCCATAAAATAATATTATACACAAATCAAAAACTTTTCATTCTTTTTCAACCACACATTTTTCAAAAAAATACTATTCCAACCATTAAAATTTGGAAAGAATGGGGGCCAAACAGGGCTAATTATACTATTCACTAATGCCTTCTACTGCAGATATAGAAATTCATGTCTTTGTATTCAGTCACCCGGCTTCATATTCTGTATAAAGGAACCTGAGGGGTCTGTTTTACTTGGAGATAAAAGACTCAGATGAGTGAGATCTCTATTGTAAACTTTTTGCTTTCAATTTTAGTGAAAACCTGCAGTAGAAAGTGAATTGCTACAAATATGTTTGTTTGCTGTTGTCGGTTTCTGTATGATTTTGTTCCTACTGCCCCCGTTTTGGGATAAGGAATTACTCCCTAACAATGGTAGCCCAATCCAATGTCAAAGAATTCCTTAATTTCTAAGCCTATGATTCAATATCGAGGTTCCACAAATGATGTATCTCTATAACAAATAAAATTTCATAGCACTAGCTAGCATGGGTTCATTACCTGAGTTTTAAATTGAAATGGATCAATAATCAGTTTTATGAAATTAGAAATGATAAGAAGAAATCATCTCCGCAACTTTTGAAGGTTAGAAATCATCTCCGCAACTTTTTAAGGTTACTGAAGAATGTCTGGACTGGTAAATTACCTGTAGTAGGCGCTGTAAATCAATATGCATTTTCGGGAACCTTCTATCATCCAACATTTGTTTCTTCAAAGCAAAACCACCTGCATTTTAACCAAAAATAACGAATTCAAATTAAAAATAACGAACCATGTGGAGAACAGAGGACAGAGGCCATCAAGGGATCTACTATGTTTCATTCCTATATTTTTCTAATTTACTGTTTCACTGTCAAGTAATATAGTACTACAATGGCATATGACTAATGCAGTAGCTTCTAAAGCAGAATTTGATCTTATGACAGAGCATTCAGGGTTGAAATACAATACCAGTTGTTAGTATAATACTTTTTCAAGTAGCCTCCACCACTACTACTCAACGAAGCACAAAATAATAATGATGATGACGACGACTATAATGATAAATAAAATTCACAGGCTGTTTCGACAGGGTAAAGCATATGGGATATTCGTAAACTTAGAAGGTCTTTTTAGAACATAATGGAGTAGGTTAGTGATAAAATTTTAGTATAAAAATAAATTGAAGAGGGATGTAGGAAATTAGACACCAAAGAGATAATACCATTTAGCCATTCAAACTATGTCCAATAACAAAATGCCTAAAGAGATATAACACTTTCATTTCCCTATTAATTAGAATGATAATGGTGTGAACAAAGTTCTGAAGACACCTTTCACAAACAGGACCGTGCATTGCAGGAAGTTTCCCTCAGAGGAACGAGTACTAATACCGATTAGTGCAAGATAAAAGCAAAAAAAGAGAAGAAAGGAGAAAGAACTGAGTGAAATTGTGGGGAAATATTCAGTTTCCCTTATTGATCAAATCAATTATCTACAGTATTCAGAAATATTAGTCTTGTATAGACTTGAATATCTATCAAAAATGGAAAGTTCCAAGATTAAGAGTTTCCTAACTTATACTAATAACTATACTAAGAAAGTAACTCAAAGTCTATTTTCAATTTTAAGCCCAGAACAAGTAAATATTTTGGACAATCTTCAATAAAATCTCCTTTGCAATCTCCATAATAAGGTATGCTTCTGTTCTACACTATTCACAACTTGATCTAATTCTCCAAGCCCTCAGATACTTCTTAATTACTGAACACCTCAGGTGTTCTTCTGTTGCACTGTTTAGGCTCGTCCGCTACCAACCTTTGGATGCAGGTGCAGCCATGTCTAGAGCCCAGCTGGATTTGTCATGTGACAGAAAGATGGCTAGCAATGGGATATCGTGGCGTTTTTGCAGAGTGAACCTACCATTGGAGATTTGTACTTATATATGCAGTAGTACAGATTTGATTTCAGAGTTTTTTTTTTTAATTAAGCTTTCTGAGATATTAAAAGACTTTGGGGTCTAATAAATTATCTCCTCATTTAATTGTCCTAGTTTGTGATCCTTGGATTAACTTTTCTTTTGTCCTGCAGATTAATATTATTAAAAAAAACATGTAAATTACGAGGTATTTGAATATTTCACGATAACAAGGGATCCTCCTACCATCTTGTATTGTGTCCAATGGCAACAATTAGAAGGGTGTGTTTCGACTAAACCTTGTAAATTCTCTCATATATAATAGAGTATTTTTTGCTGGCCATATACTGTCTTTTACAAAGATATATTGTAACATCTAAAATTTCTATTGCTATTTGTTAGATTTAAATTTAGGACTTAAGTGCACTATTATTAAAGTCTAATGACCCATAGTTTAAGAATCTAAGTGGAAAGTTACTTTGGAAGTTCGATTAAATCATGTGTAAAGCATATGTAAATATGCCAATTGGTCTTGATTAAAGATGATTTATTGACCACGTGCATTATTCACACCACATTTCAACTCAGTGTAATTTATTTGACCACGTAAATCAAGAAAATTAATTTGATCACATGCATTATCTACACCAAGTTTTAAGTCAAGCAAATTGATTTGACCACATGATTAAAGGTATTGATTGGACCATTTTCATAACATTACACCATTTATGTATTGACCATGCTTAATTTCTAGCCATTTCCTTTCACTTTTCTACACATGGTCAAGAATTTACACTATAAATGAGAGACAAACTCATCACTAAACTACCCTCAACAACTATTTACACACTGTTTCGCGCGGGTTAGTCGCTAACAATTAAAAAGGATCAGACGATTGTCTAAGGGACAAAACCTCTTGAAACAAAGTCCCAAAAAGGGGTATTCTTTTATTGGCGATGACTTTACAATTGGAAATGAAAAACGACGTGCCTCCAAGGGGCGCAAGCACACGAGTTACTGAAAGAAAAGTGTTTAAGTCTAAAAACTAAAGAAATGAAAATTACATGTTCTCTGTTCGAGAGTTTTGGATTCGGTTCCTTGCTTCTATGTCCTTTCTCCCTTTTATACTTCATGGACGATCTCTTTGAGATCAACCGCTCTAAAAACTGCTTGATCGTCCTATAACTGCCCACTTTCTTCGTAATGGCCAACTTGTCATGAAAACTGCATTTTTTAACTGCTGCCATTACTCTTTATCGTTCAACCGCTTTCGATTGAATTCCTTGAATCGTGGAACGTGATAGGGCTGCTTTAATAACTGCTTTGATAACTGCACTTCTTGATAACCACAACGCTTTATGTTTGTTAAGACCTTGGGCGACTTGAAGGTTTGGGAAAGAATAGAGTAACAGCTCTGGGCGACTGTATGACACTCCATTCGCTCAGATTCTGGGCGACTTGCAAACTTGGGCGATGGAGTTACCGCGTTCTTGGGCCTCCTTATTTGGGCCTTCATCTTGATTTGTTCGATTGGGCTATCTGATTTGGGGATCCTCCAATTGGACTTTACTCCTTGGGCTGTTCGATTTAGGCTGAATTTTTATGTGTCAACACACACTCTCCCTCTATACCTCTATAACTTTGTCTCTCCATCACTCTTCCTCGTCATTTTTATATTAAATATAGTCGTACACTTATATAACCACACGTGAATAATCAACCCCACACGCAGCTCAATGATCTCTTTTCAACAATAACTCCTTTTATTATATTGAATTGTTCAGTAAAAAGGTAAGTTGTGCTTTATGTTTATAGTGGCTAATGTTTACGTATGTAATATTTCTACGCCTATGTCACGTTTTGGTCCATGTTATGTATGTTTTATTAAGAATAGACCAGAGTTTAGTAGAGCTATGCACGAGAATTTAGCACCATATAAGTTTGGTCTAATTTTTCGTGTCTCCCAGTACAAATTATGAATTTTTCATAGAAATACAAAATTTATTATCCATGCACGTTTATTGAGAATTGTTATCACCTCATTATATCTCTACTTTCAAATAATTGACTATTCGAGGCGATATTATTATTTCATTTGAGTTTAAATATTTGATGATATTTTTCATTTCAAGTTAATTTATTAAACTCGTTACATTATTTTAATTTTAGTAAGTGTTTTAATAATTTATATAATTGTATTGAATATCCTTTAAATTAGCTTTAGTTTATGATTTAGTGACACTCAAAATAGTTAAGGATTTGGGTTGTCATAGTTGATATTAGAGCAGGTATACTTTCCTGTAGACTCAGAATTTTAAAAAAATTATGCCATTTTTCAAAAAAACAGTATTTTAATTTTTTTGCCTTGCAAGGAATTTTACAATTCAAATACTATTCTTTAAATTATTTATTCAAAATAAGTTATTAGTTATAGAGACACAACTATAACAATCTACAATCAAGGAGTCTAGGAAATGAAATATCCATTAGAATGTAGCAATCTTGTGATATCTATAAACATCATTGTAGAGAAGATATAAAATGGGACACAAAATTTATAACAATAAAAATTATGGCCTGGATTACATATAGAGAATGAGAACATACCTCTATCCAACTCAAATTCCACCGAGTCCAGCTCGATCTCGAGATTGGTCACAACATCTTGGAGGTGATCGATGTGCGTGTCAATTATGTGAACAACAAGATTTGACACGGATTTTGGCACTGGATTATCTGCTTCCTCAGAATGATTCATTGTCAAGAGGAAATCAAGAACATGTTCCTGAATCACGATCCCACGCCTCTGCTTATATTCCCTACCACCATGATTCGGACTCTCCACAGCCGGAATCTCTGAAAGAAGAGACTCATTTGCAGGCGAGAAACCCAATCTTGGGACACGACCTAATGACACAGTAATAACTGAATTCTCAGTAATTCTTGCTGCAATTCTAAATGTAAATTTGCTAGAAGCCGGACCAGGTGAATTAACTCTGAAGACAAGAGCACCATCAACATGCCCACAAAAGGGTCCATTACTAATAAGTGAGAGAATGTCTTGAAGTTTCAGGGGCGGGCATAGTACGTCAATAAGGTATTGGGCGGATTGTGATAGTTTCTGGTTCCCTTTCGGGAGCTCGACATGGTACCAACAAAACTGTTCCCCTCTACCTTCTGCAAGGTCCCATTCCTTGTTATAGTAATTCCCATCTCCATCAAATATGTAGGCCTTTTGCCTCACCGGATAACGCGAATGACGTAAACGATTTTCCCTAAAATTAGGTAAAGAGAGTTCTCTATCTATTTCCTCTCCCTCCCCATCTATATGATTAAGCTCCATAAATATCCTCAATTGTCATTCATTAACCAATTCGAAAAATCCCAATGATTACGAAGAAATATCAATATCATAGACTTCTAATGCAAAGGCTGAAACAATTAATAAGAGCCAACAAATTCAGGTGAAAAGTAATCAACTTTACATATACAAATAAATAACTCCCAAATCAAGATAATTCATCACATTTGCAACAAACTCTTTAAACCCAGATATAACATTTCATCCCAATTAGGCCCTGAAAAACAAGAACAATAAATTATTGAAATTCCTTGCTATCTTTGGAGAAATTAAAAAAAATCACACATTAACGGAAAGGCTTTGCCTTTTTAGTGCAACCAGTTGGAAATCCAGAAGGCCAGTCTTGAATGAAGAGAACTCAGGAAAAAAATACAAGAAACAGAGAGAATCAATTTTGAAAGAGTATACTTTCATTTATTTACAATACATGGACTATCAAATTCAATGACAAGTGGGAATAAAAAATAATAATAATAAAATAAAATTCAACGGTGGAGAAACAAGGATCGTCAAACAGATCGATGGATGTCAAGAAAACATTAACTTCAACACGTTGAGGATTTTTCTTGGAAGTTTCCTTCTTCATGATTTTTTTAAAATTGTATTTATATAAATATCTGGCATTTTGATTGGTATATTAATAGAACCATGTTTCTTGGACAGGTGGATGCTGTCACAACCTATCCAATAGGAGGGCGCCAAGTGGGAACCCTGTTTTTTACACGGTCTTCCCTCTGCCTTTTCTCATATTAATATTACTGTTAGGAGATATTTGATAGATATTTTTATATAAAAATATATTTTAGAATAATAAATTGATGTAAAATGTGTGATTGAGACATAAGAAATTTTTTTTATTTAAGTGTAATATTATTTTAATAAAAATGTGTGGTTGAAAAGAAGAGAAAAAAATACATTTTAAAAAAATTGACTACCAAACAGGTGCTTAATTTGTTTGTAGGAAATGATATAGTGTTTTTTTACACTTATTTAAGTCATTAAATTGGAGTATTTATTATTGATTTTGATGAAGTAGTGTTTATTTGGTTTGTTATGTGAAATTTGGTGATGGGAAAAAACAAACGAAAAGGGTCAAAATGGGCAAAATTCAAAGTTCAAATATTTAGGCCCCGTTTGATAGTTATTTTTTTTAAAATGTATTTTTCTCTCTCATCTTTTTAACCACATATTTTTTATTAAAATAATATTACACGTAAATAAAAAACTTTTCTTTATTTCTCAACCACACATTTCACATCAATTTACTATTCTAAAATACATTTTTACATAAAAAAATGTCTATCAAACACCCTCTTAATAATTGATTCGGACCATAAAACGATGATTGGAGAATGTTAGGAATCAGTTAGAGATAATTAGAAGTCAAATAGGTGTAATATAGTCAAAATAATTTCATAAATCAATTCCAACCGCACACGTTATGCACCAGATTTTCAATCTTATATTGAAACCTTTTTTTTTTATTTTTTGCAAAATAAATGTTCAAATTGAAAAAATTATATTTCTAAAATAATTGTATCCATTTGAGTTGACTTTCTAACATATTTTAAATCGCCTCAATCGAATATCGTAAGAGAAAGATATGACAAAAATACTGAAAACTGTGCAAAGACATAACCATGCGCAACTCAAAGTAAACTTTGCTTATTTAATTGGAGCTCTTTTGGAACGCAACTTTGGTTTTTTTTTTTTTTTTTTTACCTAATCACATTACACGCACACACGCATTTATATACTCCCTACGTTTCAATTATATAGGTTTGTTTCGTTTTGCGCATGAATTAAGAAATTCTTAATGTCATTGAAAAAATAATTTTTGCCAAAATCTTTCATAATTTACCCCTATTTAATTTTTTGTATGCAGTATTAAATTATTATTGAAATTAGTAAAGAATTTGGATAATTCAAAGAAGAAATGTTGTTATATATTTCCAAAAAGTGGAAAATGTGTGTATTTGGATGATTTCAAGAAGATGGTATATTAAGTGGGGAAAATTGAATAAGTGTATATTGGTAAAAAAATAAAATAAAATATTCTAAATTAAGAAATAGACCTATATATCTGGGACAAGAATAAAATGAAACTCAAACTATATAATTGGAATAGAGGAAGTATATATATAAAAAAATTGGCAACTATTGAGAATCTCTCTATGAACCTCAAATCACTTCCATGTCGTAAAAATCATTCAAGAATGATGGGCAAATTCATCATAAGTTGGAGAGGTAAGCAAAGCTTGAGGTTAATAATCAAGAACAAGAATTAAACTGTGACATTTCTTGTATTTTATAAATTTAGGTGGTGCTTTTCCATTCTTCTTGTCGCTTTATCTTTAAAAACATGTTAAGCTAGATTCCATTTTGTTGAAAATGAAACATTTATTTATTTTTAATTCAAAGACAAATATTTTAGAATTCTTGTTTTTCTTGATTAATTATGCATATTCGTTGCATTATTTAAATGTTTGTGCATTATTTAGGTAATTAGTTACTTATTATAGTATTGAAAATTTTGCAATGAAGTAGAACACTGCATGATTAATACATGAATAATAGATATTAGAAATAACATATATCTTGTATACTATTACCTCAATAATCGTGTTATTAGATGCATTATCACATAGATAATTGTGTAAATAAATGCGTTCTACTTTTTTGAATTCAGATTAACAAGAAGTTCAGGTTGTGACTATAATAGAATTAACTTATCCTGAAAAATAAAATTAAATAAAATAGAATCATTCATTGTCAAAAATTTATGTATGAAATTACATTACATAATTGGGAATTGAAAATAGAGTAATTATAGGCGGATTCAGAATTTCAACACATACATCTCATCTTTTATTTTAAAATCATCTTATGTAATAGTCGATAATTTAGAATAACTAAAATACATCTCATTTATTTTACAACTTTCGAAGCTAATTGTGAACTAATATAGCCCTTGTTTGAGCCCCATTTTGATGGGAAAAATAAATTTTTGAATAGTGTATTGATGTGTAATATGTGGTTAAAAAATAAGAAAAAATTTTGGATTTACGTGTAATATTATTTTATTAAAGAATGTGTAGTTAAAATTATGTCAAATACCGTTGAAGAATTCATTTTCTCCAAAGAATGGAAATCAAACAAGTGCATAATTCCATTTAAGATTTATTCCTTTTGAGGACGATACCCTTGACTCAAATATATTACTTGTCGACATAAAATATGGTGATAAAATAAAGACATCATGTAATTAAAGAATAATTATAGAAATAAAGTAGTTTCATTTTTTCCCGTCATTAAATATTTTCGAAACGTTTGGGGACAGTTGGGGAAAAAGAAAAGAAATCGAAACTTAAAAAAAAAAAAAAAAAGGGGAAAAGGGGGGATGGTAGTATCTTTTTTAAAGGACAGTTGAAGAAATAATAGAATTTTTATTACTTTATTAGTTGGTTTGAGGCTTAAATTTGTTTTTCATTCATTTATTTTACCTTTTATTATAAAATTGTAAGTTATTTGATAGATTATTTAACATCGTTTAAGAGCGTGCATGTTTGTTGTAAAGTTTAAAATTCATCAATAGTTGTAAAAAAAGAAAGAGATTTCTTGAGGTTTATATAGCGAAAATAAGACAATTTTCATGTTATTCCATCATTATTGTGGAGTTTTTTTATTCTTGATAATTAATGTTTGTTTTATTGAAATATTTCAGAAGCGTGTCTTTTTTTTTTTTTTGTTTCGATACCTAAAAAGAAAAGTAGCAATAGACTAAGAATGGGTGCGGTCCACATTCCGTTAGATTTTAAAGATAATCGAAACCAAACCAGGTACTATTGAGAATCTTAAATGGAACCATTATTCTATATCTAACTATAAAAATCGAACCTGAACCAAACTAATCATGGTCCTGATTCGGTCTGATCCGATTCTTTATATTGAAAATTTATAAAAATAAAGTGTTAAAATACTTATCACATTAACAATATAGTTAAAATTACTTATTATTCTTGTAATCTAATAATATAAAAATTAATTAAACAATGCAACAAATAGAAATACACTACAAGGTTCAAGATCAATTAATAAGGACATAAAAAAGAATAAATTATTAAACACAATATAAATTATAAAATTTGAATAAAAATTATTTTTTAAGAAAACTCATAAAACAATATATATTAAAAATACATGTAGGATTTATAACATGATTATATCCAATAATCTTCAAGGAAAATATCTTAATTTGGATTATAAGTGGAAAAAATGGTCAGACAAAACCAAACCAAACCAACGATTTGATTTGGTTCTAAAGAGAACTAATGGTTTCGATTCTTAGAATGAGAACCATTTGATCCTGGCTCTAGAACAAATAATCTGAACCGAGAATCGAACTCAGTTTTTATTATTGTTTTATACATATTTTTCTTTTCATAAATCAGTGAATTACACCCAAAAAAAAAAATCAATTTTAAAAATTTTTAAGCGTGAAATGAATAAAATGGTCATTTATCATTACATTTGCTGAATGTTTGATGTTTATTTATTTTTCATTAAGATATATATTACTAACTTACGAATGTGATATTAGATTTTTGTTTGCATTTATCATTTGAAAATTTAAATAATGGAACCAAAATCAAATGGTTCGATTCTATATCGTAAAAAAATTATTGGTTCCATTTTCAAAAAAAAAAAATCATTGGTCCAGAGTGGTTCGATTCAATTTTCTTGGAATCAGAATCAAATTGAACCATGTCCATCTCTAATCCTAATGATTGATTGCTTTAAAAAACAACGAGAAATTTGAATTTTTACGAAAGATTGAAGTAAAAATAGACTTTTTTCTAGTAGGATTGCGTTAAAGCTATGAATTTTTTGTTAAGTATTTATAAAATTATTTAGATTTAAATGTTAATTATCCATTATATTTCGCTTTATAAGAAAAGAAAAAAGGAGGAGGAGAGGAAGAAGCGTATGCAAGTGAAATTTAACATGAGATAAAATTAGGATTTAGTGTTCAAATATCTAGTGCATATTTGAACAATAAACAAGAAGAAAGAGAAGTTAGAAAAAATTGAATTCATTATTGGTTCTTAAAGTAGTGCTAAGAATCAGAATGGAAACTATCAATTCTCAATGCATGATCTCAAAATAATCGTAACATTTACTAAAGGAACTTGAGCGGAACTAATCGATTCTATTTAATTTCGGTTCGGCTCCATCGATTCCAAGAAAAAAATGCTCTTCCCTACAATAGACTCAAGTTTTATGGTTACCATTCTATAAAAAAATTGTGCAAACGTAATGCGTGATAGAATTAAACTCGAAAAAAATAAAAAGGAATTTAAAATTGTTGTGATTGTATTATTTAATTTTATTTAACACTA